TGGATAAGGGCTAGGGTAGATAAGGACTAGATAGAACGCAGGTAAGGACTAGGACGGGATGGGACGCGGGTAAGGGCTGAGGTAGAACGAGTAAGGATTGGGACATATGCAGGTAAGAGCTAGGAGGGGACGAGTAAAAGCTGAGATGGGATGCGAGTAAGAGACGAGGCGCATGGTTTATAGATGCGTGTTGTGCTTTGGGTTTGCTCGATGATGAGTACATCCATGCAATCGTTGAAGCCATTGGATGGTCTACTGAAGAAGTGATCAATAATTTTGTGTTATGATTTCAAAGTTTTTTTATGAGAATCGATGCAAGAAGATTGTTGCTGCTTCTCGCTGTGTCTTAGCATGCTATGGTTTGGAATATGCTTTGTTTTCTTTACATGTAGTTTCTATAAGATAGTTATGGTTTGATTTTAAAATTTGGTTTTCTATCTTCTACTAATATTTGGTTTGGAATATGAATTGTTTCCTTCAAATGTAGTTTCAATAAGATACTTTGATTCTTTGATTTCTATATTTGATTTTCTGTCTTTTATAGTTTTCTTTAATTTTTATGACTTACATCCCTTCATATGAACACTATCTTTGATTTTTTTTTAAGATCATTATCTAAAACTAAAATCCCGCGCAGGGCGCGGGTACCACACTAGTACGTATATTAAAACAAAGGTAGAACAAAAGTTATGACATTAACATAAGTAGGTGTGTATATTTTTTTTTTCACTGGAAGTAGATTATATTAGAAAGTTTCACTTTACAACATTGTTACATGACCAGAACCAGAATCCACCACAATCAAAAAGCCACAAAAGGGTTACAAAGAGGTAATGGTATCCTTCGAACAAAAAAAAGTCTCAAGCCAAGCAGTAGGGCCAACGGCGATGTAAGATTGTAAACGATACTCGGAAGTTACACTATCTGCTATCCTAAAGGCACCTAAGTTCGCTTGACGGTGTTCCAGATGCAAGTTCCATAATGGAAACCATCTCAAAAAGCTTAAAAGTTTGTCCGACTGGTGTTTGAAAGATGGCCAAGCCAGAGGCCTTAAAACCGCACCTATCAGATCATTGTCTCTAGATGCAAATATCACTTTGCCATACCTTAGTGAAGCTAGACATTCAACTACCCAAACAAAACTCACAAATGATGCCTCAGTCTTTGAAAGAATCGATGG